TAGTAAATACAACAAAATTTTACTACTTACGGATCAAGAGAATTTACTGAATCATCATACGAACCAGAAAACGTACTAATTTTTTTTAACAGTTGAGAGAACTGAAACACTTGAAAGTATATTTTCCTCGAATAGAATAAGAAAATTAAATCACACTAACATGTAGAGTAGTACAGGATTCTATGAATAAAATGGTCAACTTGTACGATACATTAGTCACGCTTCACTTATCGACCAATCACAATAGCCAGCATTCATCAACCAATCAAATTCAAGATGCATTTGGTCATCATAAATGTGTAAGGATGTGGATAGATGATAATAGAGTAAAGAGTGAAGATTATTTAGACATGATGAACAGAAGATGACGATGATGATGATGATGATAATGCGGTAAATTAGTTTTCACTTTGTCTCCTGTTTGCAAAATGTAACAGATTTCACAGTTAAGAGTTTAACTGACGAAGTATTTAACTTATCAGTATAATTACAGTTTTTGAGTCATTTTTTGTAGCTTGACATGTTTCATCTTCACTTATCTATGCTGCTTGAGTGGATTTTGTTGAAGATGAGGAAGAAGAATGATGAAATGATCTGACTATTTCATGATGACGATGTCTTTCCAAGATACCAGAAGTGTTACAGGTGGTTGGAATGTTTTATTATCATTGGAAGCAACATACACAGAAAAGAATTCAAAAAATGCTTAGTCTATGACACTACTAACTTTATTTGCACTATCCGACATATTTTTTGAAGACAAGATGACTGCACGTCAGTTGCAAATCTAATGACACCTGATTGCTTCGAGTTTCTGCTGTTTGTAAACAACATTGGCAAACCTAGTTGCGTGTGAGAATAGACAAATGCTGATGTTAGGGGATCAAGGTCAGAGAATACTGTAAATTGACTGAAGTGAGAAAAATTTGAACTGCTAGATTTCAGCATAGAGATAATTTGCTCAACACAAGACCTGACGCTGACAAGCTCAGTTCTTGATGAAGTTATAGTTGGGATTCTCCGGCAGTGGGAATGGTAGGATGAAACAGCTGTTGAAGCCTCTCAGGTTCTCAACAATTCTCTGCTTGCTGTCAGTTGATGATAATGAACTACCTCAAAACACCTTCATCCTTATAAACTTCTATTCACAACAGTAAAACGGTGAAAGTATGTTCGTCTCTTCATTCCTGTACGTCAACCAGTGTTATAGTCAGAAACATCACCACTTAGCTACTCGGCCTCCGACTGATCTCTTTTATGACTGGGTTGAGTAGATTGGTGGGTTAGTGGAGGATAACCGATTTCCCCGTTTCTAGTCTTCAGTGCTGACCGAATTGTATCCATCGAATTGCAATATTGTCACCAGGCTCGTAGGACTAACATGATGGTGCACTACGAAAGCGACATGTTTCCAAAATGACTCATGTTTCACACCAACATGTTCTAGTCAAAGTCAACGATGTTCTCTTAACTGCTTGGAATACTTCTCAAGAAAGATTCTAAGCAGCCTGTAAGTCACACATTGTTGTTAAGCACGTACGCACTGAATTTAGTTCTACTCATTGTGGCTAATAATTGAGGATTAATTCCTTGAAAAACAAAAGGATTATTTCACAAAAAAGCATACTTTTATGCTTTCTGTAGAGATTAATAATTCTCTTGAATCAATAGACTCCACCCACTCAAAGATACTTAACAACGGTAGTGACGTTTAAAGTGATAACCGATTTGTTTGAGTGAAGGTACATGATCAAGCCTTCACACCATTTCCGAGATTGTCGTGTTACTTTGCATTACTCGGCCACAACTTCATAGCCAGTTACTTCACATATGTTGATTTCTCAGCACAGTTCGGAAACAGATGATCCCTGTATGTCAATTTATTTGCATTCTTCCATTGCAACTTGACAGCTTTCAGACTTCATAATCTGTCTTCAAAATTCACCGCAGAATTTTCACCTACTTACAAGAGGTTGTAAGTAGCCTAGTTGTTGTAGGTGAAATTCTGTTGTAATGACGAGCAATAATTTTTTGATCGAAATATTATCAAGATGAAAACTTGTTATTGCGCATAAACTTATCAGTGAAACCTTAACATATGGTACCCTAATCCAGTCAGTAATGCGAAAATGTTTCAGGATACCCAAATTTTGTGAGTGTAGAATCTATAGAATGATACATGGATACGGGACTGCACAAGAAACTGATATCAGAAACTCGTCACTAGTTAGCATGTAGTCAAATGTTTTCTACTCAAGTTACTCATCATTCACTAAGTTGAAGAGTTTCATCAAAGGGCACGTAGTTTTGTCTCACTAGTACGTAGTATAGCATAAATAGGAGACCAAATGTTATTCGGATATTCTTTTTCATGTAGTTGAGTAGGTATGTAGCGAAGAGCTGTGAGTGATCTCTAACATTTCTCAGTGTTCTCAGAATAAAACACAGTAACAAGATGTAGTAGTAAAGAAAAACTTAAGAATCATTCATGCGAATTATG